CGCCGCAGTACCGGGCTGTGCCGCGTGGCCGACTTCATGAGGCTGGGGGCCCTGCAGTCGGGCGTGGACGCGATGCAGGTCTCGGCCCGGGAGTTCGAGCGCTGGAAGGAGTGGGTGCACCAGTACGCCTACCACCTGGCCTCCCGCAACGCCAGCCTGCTGGTCCTCCGCGCCAGCTTCGACCTGGGCGACCACAAGGCCAAGTGGGCCGAGTTCCTCTCGCGCTTCCTGGACAGCGTCCGCTGCGGGGAGCTGCGAGACCTGGAGCTCAACTGGACCCTGACCCACCTGGAGCCCCCGGACTTCTACCCGCCCGGCACCTGCAGCATGACTCAGGTCAGCCTGGCCAAAATGGACCAGATCAACCACTTCCAGAGCCTGCTGGAGAAGCTGCTCCGGTGCGCGCCCAAGCTGGCCAAGATGAAGCTGCCCTTCGACTGGTCGGCCCACTCGGTCGCTGTCCTGACTCGCTTCCAGCACCTGCACACGCTGGAGCTCAAGTACTTCTGGAGCTTGAAAGGGGTTTGCCCTGAGATCCTGCAGGAGCTGACCAAAGCCCTGCCCAAGCTGCGGACCCTCATCTTTCACGTGCTGGTTCCAGTCAAGGACTTGGGCGTCTCCTATTCGCTGGAGTCCAGGTCCCTGGAGTATTTGGACGTGTCGCAGAGCCGCGGCCTTGTGTTCTGCCGCCTGGACCTGCCTTCCCTGAGAGCCCTGCGGGTCAAGAAGACGGTGCGGGGCATCATCCTGAACCGGCGCACGCGCCTGGCCCTGCAGAGCCGCTGGGCCTGCCTGTACGGCTTGCTGCGGAGCGGCACGCCCAACCTGCGCATCTTCAATAACAAGGCGTTGCTGCCACACTGGCGGGACCATGCCTACGAGGAGCTGAATGCCCTGCTGCTGCAGTCCTGCTACTGCATTCAGCACTCGGACACGTGGCTGCTGTGACAGGCGTGGGAGGGACAGCCCAGCTCCTCTGGGATCTTGGCGCAGGGACGGGGGTCCCTGGCGCTCTGCTCCAGCTGAACCACGCAGTCAGGGATTCCCTGGCCCGGTTCCAAAGCAGCCCCCATTGTGACACTCAGCCTGGCCTCTGCCATGAGCCCAAGGTGCAGCGCTCACTCCTGATGCAGGGAGTCAATCGCAGCTCCGCCGCTCCTAGGTGGGGAGCTCCACAGGGCACCGGTGCTGCTATGAGCTGAGCTTCCCACTAGGGAGAGGGTCTATGCACTTGCAAGCCCCAGCTGGAGCCCCCAGCCAATTCGGGGCTGTGGCCACGTCTCTTCATTCAGGAGTGCTGTGAGCTGGGGCACAGCATCTTGGCAGAGCCCCTATGGCCTGAGAGCCCCGACCTCAGGAGGGACCAGGGTGTCCCTCTTGGCACCCCCACAGGGCTTGGTAAGGCTCATTTTGGGGAGACTGTCTTGGTGCTGGGTCTGCACCAGGCGGGAGTCCTGTACAACTGGAGGGTGTTTGGAGAGAGCAGCGCAGTGTGTTTCTATGCAGACGTAAATGGTCTGTTCCCGCAGCCGTCTCCACTGTGAACTCCTAAGTGCATTTGTGGCTGCAAGCAGCCGCGTGGGCTCACGGCCTGGCTGGAGAGATGCCGGGGTTAAGGCAGAATGACGTGGTGCTGAGTGCCGGCCCTGTACGCCGCAGCCTGACGTGTTTGTAGCCCTGGGACAGAGGCCTAGCAGCCAGGGCTCCAGGTCCTGTCCCAGCTGCTCTGATTCAGGTCAGGTTACTGAGACTTCTTTCTTTTGCAAAAGCAGCCTCCAAGCTGGGTGCTGGACCAGAGCCACCTCATGGGCTGCAAGAGTTTGGCACCTCTGCCTGGCAGGACCAAGGCATCCTGGGGTCCCTCTTGACGTGGGAATGAAGGCCTGACTTGTCCCCTGGCAGTCCAGGAGGCCTGACAGTACAGTGCCCTTGGCCCCTGTATGTGGGTACTATAAAAGAGCAGTGGTGCTAGCCATGGGAGGGACAGAGCCCTGCGCCCTCCCTGTCCAGCAAGAGGTACCCCAGCCTCTGGACTGGCTCGCCTGACCGCGGTGCTGAGTCAGCGAAAATAAAAAAGTTGCCCTGGTGCGCCCTGTTTCCGATCTCTTCTCCCCTGAACTGGATTGGGGGCTCTGGCTTCCTGAGGGCTTCTCCAAAGCCAGGAGGGTGCACATGCATGGTCCTGATCGTGGTGGGGGGCGCCTTATGAGAAGTGGCATAGCAGGAGAAGTAGCTCTGTGGTGCTCTGAGGCTGTGAATCATCTGCGGGCAGGGGCGGAGGATGTGGGACTAGGTGAGACTAGCAGGTGGGCATGGGCGGGGGGTTGAAACCCTGTGGGAGAAGCAGGTGGACATTCAGCAATCTTGGGAGAGACACTGGTCCTGGAGCTGGGTCTGCACCTTGGGAACAGCCAGGGCTGAAAGGGTTCCTGCTGCAGTGGCAGGCTCTGGTACAGATGGCAGAGAAACCCCATGTGCAGGGAGCCATTGGGAGGGGATGCAGGGCTGCATAGCTGGTCTTCCTGCTCGGCTGGAAGGAAGATGGGCCTGGGCACGAATGGCTGCCTGGACAAGGGTAGAGGCTGTGGACTGTTGCTCTGTGGCTTGGCCAGGTGCCCCTGGTAGATCAGCCATCTGTCTGTCTCTGTGTTTAGAGAGGGCAAGCCTGGTAACCAGAGGGGCAGGGTTCCGGAAGGGAGCAGGTGCTGGCAGAGAAGGACCTGGGGGGGCAGGGGACAATAATCTGGATATAAGCCAGCAGTGTGCCCTTGGTGCCAGGAAGGCTACCAGCATCCTGGGCTGCATCGGTAGGAGCATCGCCAGTGGATGGAGGGCAGTGATTCTTCCTCTCTATTCAGCACTGGGGAGGCCACATCTGGAGTCCTGTGTCCAGCTGTGGCCCCCACTGCAGAAAGGATGTGGACACATTGGAGAGAGTCCAGTGGAGGGCAATGAAAATGGTTGTGGGGCTGGGGGACAGGACTGGTGAGGAGAGGCTGAGGGACCTGGGCTGATTGAGTCTGCAGAAGAGAAGACGGAGGGGGATTGAAGAGCATCTTCACCTCCCTGCGGGGGGGCTGCACAGAGGATGGAGCTGGGCTGGTCTCAGTGGGGGCAGATGACAGGGCAAGGAGCAATGGGCTCAGGCTGCAGCAAGGGGAGTTGAGGTTGGATATTAGGAAAACCTTTCTCCCAAGCAAGGTGGTGAAGCACTGGAACATGTTACCCAGAGAGGTGGTGTAGTCTCCATCCTTGGGGGTTTTGTAGGCCTGGCCTGACAAAGCCCTGGCTGGGATGATATAGCTGGGACTGCTTTGAGCAGGGGTTGGACTCGATGTGACCTGGGGTCCCTTCCAACCCTCATTGTGATTCTATGATTCTGGGCTCAGCAGGATAGTGGCCTTTCTATGCCCTCTTGAAGGGGTGCCAAGGGATGCCCTGTGTCCTGTAGCTGATGGCACGACTGCTTCAGTGAGGTTCAGCTGGGGAGACTTCACTTCATAGCCTTGGGGGAGGAGGTGCTGGTGGGAAGCGGCTGCTTGCTGGGGCTCAGCAGAGTCCAGCCCAACGTGCTGTATGCGGGGGACTGGCCCATTGCTGCTGCCTCTGCCGGACACCTTGCCATCCCCTGGCTATGTGTCACTGGATCCAGCTCTGGGGAAGAGCAAGGTGAAGGTGGCTCGGCCAGCAACACAGAGCCGGGCTGGTGGCTGGAGGAGGCATGCCCCTTGGGTGGGTGCAGGCAGAGCCTGTGGACCAGAGGATACCTGCAGCTATGGGACAAGCCATGGCCCAGGCACCCACAGCCACAGCAGCACAGAGCAAGTCTCCAGAGCTGGCAGGACAACACCATCAGTTGCCAGTGCAGCACCCTACGGTCCTGCCGTGAGGGGTCCTGATGCCTTGGCCCTTACCTGTGCGCTCCCAGCTGCAGAGACTTTTGGTATAGATGGGGCTTTGCCCTTCTCTGCAGCAGGTGCATGGCCTCTGCCTGGGCTCTGGAACATGCGTTAACAACCACATATAAGCAGGATGTTAGCTGCCGTCATCCCCCTGCTTTGTGTGGCAGGTTCAGGTGTTTCATAGTTTTAGGGTCGGAAGGGGCCTAATAGATCTTCTAGCCCGACCCCCCGCCAGGGCGGGAGAACAACAAAAAACCCTAAAAACAAAAACGGGACTCAAATGAGTCCAGCCAGGTAGGCATCCAGCCTCTTCTTAAAGACCCCCAGGGTAGGGGCCAGCACCACCTCCCTTGGAAGTTGGTTCCAGCTCCTAGCCGCCCTAACTGTGAAGTAGTTTTTTCGGATGTCCAATCTGTACCTCCTCTCCATCAACTTGTGCCCATTACTCCTTGTTATGCCAGCGGGGGCTAGGGGAAACAGCGTCTCCCCCAAACCCTTCTGGTTCCCCCTAGTGAGTTTATAGACGGTCACCAGGTCCCCCCTCAGCCTTCTCTTGTGGAGGCTGAATAGGTTCAGGTCCCGCAGTCTCTCACTGTAGGGTCTGCCCTGCTGTCCCCGGATCACGCGGGTGGCCCTCCTCTGGACCCTCTCCATGTTGTCCACATCCCTCCTGAAATGGGGCGCACAGAACTGGACACAATACTCCAGCTGCGGCCTGACCAGTGTCACATAGAGGGGGAGGATCACCTCCCTGGCTCTACTCGAGGTGTGATGTTGGGTGACAGTAGTTTTATGAAATTTAGATGATTTCTCCAGGGTGGTTTGGACAGGGCTGATCCTGCCACAGGCAGGGGCTGAGCTAGATGTGATCCTGTAGATCCCTTCCAGCCCCACAGCTCTGGGACTCCAGGAAAGACATGCGGCAAGGACAGCCCAGGGTGAGCAGGGGGCTGGTGGCTTAGGCCGGAGCCCTTGGGTTGATCTCATAAGAGCAGGGGGAAGCAGGACAGCGGCAAAGATGAACACCCAGTGGTGCCCAAGGACAGCAGAGGAGCTTTGTATGGGCCTGGAGCAGAGGTAGCACGGACCGCAAGGGAGGAGATGGATGGAGGTGAGTGTGGCAGGGCGAGGGGATGTGAGCTGGCCAGGCAGAGCGTGCGTCCCTATGGCCCAGCCAGAAGCAGAGCATCACCTGTCAGCTAACCCACCCTGCAGAGCGCCTGGCTTGGCATTAACACCTCGCACTGGGCCCATGCACCCTCAGAGGCAACTTTTCAGTCCCAGGTGCCCTCCCTACCCCAACAAGGGTGGAGCAGGCCTGGCAGCCCATCACTTTTGAGCCCAAGTGCTTTCTTCCTGTGCTTGCCAGTGGCCAAAGCCAGCCTGGACTCTGCCCTCCCCTGACCCTGCTGCGCCAGGGGGACCCTTCTCCAGGCCACAAGCAAAGAAGGGACTTAAAGGCAGGCACAAAGAGCCCAGGCCCTGGGGCTCCATCTCTGCTCCAAGCGCCCCCGCTTAGAGGGAGCAAACAGAGGGACCCATTGTCCTGCAGAGAATGACAGTAGTCATCTGACCCCAGCACTTTTTCCTGCCTAGGCAGGGGGTCGGACTCGATGATCTGTTGAGGTCCCTTCTGACCCTAGCATCTGACTCTCCAAAGGCTGGTGCTGGGTTGAGAGCTAAACATCCTGCTGTGCTCTCCATGGGGGTAGGCGGCTTCCAGGGATGCATCTGGTGCCGGCCGGTCAGAGCCAGGCCCTGGGCTGGCTGGACAGTGGATCCCAACCAGCCTGGCGGTGGTTACACTCTGCACCCGGCCTCTCCTGCACTGTTGGACAGCTGGAGCCATCACCTCGGCCTCCCTAATCCCAGCACCTGGCTGCTCATCTTGCCCTCCTCCCCACTGCTTTGGTCCATCAGCCTGGCTTGCGAGCTCAGGCATGAAGGGTACACAGCTCTGCCATGTGGCTGCCCAGCTCTTGGGGGAGTCCAGCCTGGACCCTGCTCCAGTTCCAAGCGCAGAGAAACCTATCAGCTGAGCCCTGCCAGGAGGGGCTAGGAGACGGTTCTGGATGGTGGAAGCAGTGGAGAAGGATCCTGGCAGCTGCTGGCTCTGGGCAGAGGGGAGCCGGCAGGAACACATGGCCATCCTCAGGGAGAGCAGAGCAGGGAGGAAGCCCCGGGCATGTCGGGGAGCTGTGCAGAGGCATCCACCTCTGTGAAGCCCGTAAGCCCTGGCCTGATGCATCCACCCACCCTGGTTTCCCACCTGCTCACAGGCACTGAATGTTGGCAGCACTCAAGGGATTTTGCTTCCCCTCCTCAGCCAGCTCTGTGCAGAGGCAGGAGGTGTCGGAGGCAGAGGGGCCAGGGAGGCAAAGGCTGGAGCAGGGCACAGCCGTGTGAATGCCTTGCATGCAGGAGGCAAAGAGGGGACAGAGCTGAGCTGCCCAGAGGGCCTCATTGCTGGTTACTGGGTGAGCACAGTGACTTCCAGCCCTGGGGGAATGAGAACGAGGACAGCAGCAGAGGGGCCGAGATGGGGAAAGCACAGGCAGGAGAGGGAAGCAGGCTGTCAGGGGCATGGGGATGCTGCTCAGTTAGATGGTGACTACAAAGCCAGACTCCGAAGCGGGGCTAGTCAGTTTGCGAGGGATTAGAGGCCTCCCTGAGAGGAGCGGAGAGGACACAGGAGGCAGAGGCAGATGGGACGGCAACTGCGCCATCTGCCATGGGACAGGCCAAGGGGGCCACAAGCCTGGCTGCCTTCCCCTCCATGCACCAGAGCAGGGGCCAGAAGAACCTCCCAGCGCACCAGGCATGAGAGAGACAGCAGTGGTTAGAAAATGGCATAAAAACATGTTATTGCTGCGTGTCCTGGATGGCCAGACATGGGGGCCATCACACCACGGCCCCTCTGCCACAAGGTGCTACAGGCTGAAGTAGTCCAGGGTGTTGTGGCGGCAGAGGTTCGTGGTCCAGATGGCATCGTCCCTGTCTGTGCTCAGCAGCATCTGCTGCAGCTCAGCGCTCACCCGCGAGAACTTCTCCTCGTCCACCGAGCCGTTGAGCAGGCTGGAGGAGGATGGCGGCCAAGGCAGGTCCTCGCCGTAACAGTCCACAGGGTAGGGGTAGATAACGAGCCGCAGGTCCGAGAGTCCCGCTGTGCGGAGCAGCAAGGTCTTGAGTCCGCGCGTGGACAGTGGGTTGCCAAACACGCCCAGGTAGCGGAGCCGGGCACAGCAGCACAGGATGGGCAGCAGCGCCTCCAGGTGGGTGTCCGCCAGGCGGCACTCCATGATGTCCAGGTGCAGCAAGGAGCCCGCCGCCTCCCGCAGCAGGCGCTGGAAGGGCTGCAGCAGCGTGTCCGACAGGTTGTTGCCGCTGAGGTCCAGCTTCTTGAGGGCGGGTGTGTGGAGGCTCTGCGACAGGTAAGCCAAGTCGCTGGGCAGAAGGTAGCAGAAGGCCAGCTCAAGGCTTTCCAAGGGGCCCTGCAGGTCGCTGCAAACAGAGGAGAGAGACAGCAGCTGT